GTGTGTGTGTGTACGCACATGAAGATGAGGCATAGGTATAATACAGAAGCTGTAATTTTTTAAATTTATGCTTCTATTTTGAGAGAAAAAAAACAACAACAGGTAGCTTTCTATGGAACAGGTACGTGTGCAGCTGTTGTCCCTTATACTGTCCCCGTCTTTTTAAGCAAGAAAAATTATGAAATTATGCAAACTGAGCCCAAAAATGTAAAATTATGCGATTCTGTTGATTTTAACAAAGAATGATAAAGGAAAATAATAAGAAATTATGCCAAAAAATGATCAAATTTTGCTAAATTATGCGGGGTGCATATAACCACGGGGACAGCTAATACTACTAGCAATTACGTGTTCTGATTATAAACTGAATTTCCTTTAGCTCAAAATGATTTTTGGGTTTAAAAAAACTACTGGTACATACTGGTACGGCATCCCCCTGACCCAAGCTCTCCGGCTGGCGACAGAGAGACGTCTCTTTCTTCCCGCGACACCCAAAAGGGTATAAGCGGCGAAGTAAAAGTAAAGTGACTGGTACATAATCTGTGTTAGATAGGAGGATAAGCCTTTTCTTTAAACTTTTCCTTCACTCACAGGGTCATTCAAGGTTACAGAAACTCAATCTGAGCAAAAATAAGTTTGGTGATGAGTCGGCGCATGTCTTTGGTCACATGATTGGTGAGTCTTCTCTATAACGTGTTTTTTTTTTTTTTTTTTTTTTTAGCTTACTAAGAGTTTTAAGGCACTTGCAACACGATAAACTCGTATAAGGGCCGACGATTTGAGGTTTTTACAAGAGAGTAACAAACACAAAAAAGAAGGAGGAGAAATAAGGACGATCGACGTTTGAAAGGATAGACGGGGCAAACTACACCAGGGCACCCGCCAACCACCCGCTTTAATATTTTTTAACTGAATTTTATCCGAATAGTGATTCTTCATGCATAACGGATGAGTGGTATGAGCTTTCGCCTTTGGGGTGGGTGGTTGGCGGGTGCTCTGGTGTAGTTTTCTCCTTCTTTCTTATCAAACATCTATCGTTCTTATCCCCCCCTCCTTCTATTTTGTGATTGTTACTCTCTTGTAACACTTCTAATCTTCTGCACTTATATGACCTGATTGTGTTGCAGGTGCCGTAAAACACTTACTTTTTAAAAAGATATCATAAGTAGTTTATTTTTAGTTTATATTTTTAGAATATATTCTTTATCTCCAATAGGATTTAGTCAAATGAGCCGAGAGCCTTACTGTGTAAATAACACGAGTACATGTACTTCTTATCACCTTCTTTATGTCCAACGCAACGTGTTATCTTGACGTAGCATAGCCCTGGACCATTATTTTTTACCCGTTTTAAACGGACTCTTTTGTGTACGTTCACTTGTGTGTGTTCGTGTGTGTGGGGGTATTCGATTGTTTGTGTGTGTGTGTGTGTGTGTTTGTTTGTGTGTATGTTCGTGTGTGTGTGTGTGTGTTTGTTTGTGTGTATGTTCGTGTGTGTGTGTGTGTTTGCATGAGTGTTTGTATGTGTATGTGTGCGTGTGCACGAATGGGTTGTTGATATTT